TGCAATCCTGTAACAATAAACATATATCTATATAGATACTAAACCAGAACCTGTTTGCTCTGTACAATCCTGTAACAATAAACATATATCTATATAGATACTAAACCAGAACCTGTTTGCTCTGTACAATCCTGTAATAATGAACATATATCTATATAGATACTAAACCAGAACCTGTTTGCTCTGTGCAATCCTGTAACAATAAACAGAAGAAACTAGACAAACTCAGGTAAAAGAACAGATTACTCGCAGCAAACGCAAATTTTCCTAATTTCTATATCTTTGCAACCTCCTTTCCAAGACCTTTGATATTTAAAACTGTACATTATATTAAATCAAACGGTCAAAGTTTAAAGGTTAAACTATCTGATTGAAAGATATGGGAATTACAAAATTTCGATTTGTGTCGAGTGTGAAGTTCCTTTAGAATGTGTAATTCAAAATGTCGTCTTTCTAAGAATGTGATTCAAAGTTTAAAAAACATTGTAGTTAAAAAAAATTTAAACGAAAGAAAAAAAACCATCAGTTAGATTGCATGAAATTTTGTTTTCAAAATCATTTAAATATTCAAACTGTATTTACCCTGTTAAACCGTTCTCTCGAGGTAAACGCTACGAAATAATAATAATAATACCTACCTCTCTAGATACATCTTGGAAGATATCCCGAACCCTGAAGTTTGTTGCCTGGAGTATAAGAAGCTTGGATGTATATATCAAGGAGTAAACTATAAGGTATAAACTTATACACCTCCGACTAATGGGACTTGCTGACTGAATTCTGGTCAACGGTAGAAATGGGTGCACGTATTTGTCTTTTAAATGATTTTACGGTATATTATTAAGGTTGGATCGGACTGGAAGGACGGATTAGATCCAAGTACTATATTTTATTAAGGTTGGATCGGACTGAAAGGATGGATTAAATCCTTGTACTGTATATTATTAAGGTTGGATCGGACTGGAAGGATGGATTAGATCCATGCATGTATTTTATTAAGGTTGGATCGGACTGGAAGGATGAATTAGATCCATTTATTGTATATTATTAAGGTTGGATCGGACTGGAAGGATGGATTAGATCCATGTATGTATTTTATTAAGGTTGGATCGGACTGGAAGGATGGATTAGATCCATTTATTGTATATTATTAAGGTTGGATCGGACTGGAAGGATGGATTAGATCCATGTATGTATATTATTAAGGTTGGATCGGACTTAAAGGATGGCTTAAATCCATGTACTGTCGGACTGGAAGGATGGATTAAATGCATGTATTGTATATTATTAAGGTTGGATCGGACTTGAAGGATGGATTAAATCCATGTACTGTCGGACTGGAAGGATGGATTAAATGCAAGTATTGTATATTATTAAGGTTGGATCGGACTGAAAGGATGGATAAGATCCATGTATTGTATATTATTAAGGTTGGATCGGATTGGAGGGATGGATTAGATCCATGTATTGTATATTATGAAGGTTGGATCGGATTGGAGAGATGGATTAGATCCTTGTATTGTATATTATTAAGGTTGGATCGGATTGGAAGGATGGATTAGATCCATGTATTGTATATTATTAAGGTTGGATCGGATTGGAAGGATGGAATAGATCCATGTATTGTATATTATTAAGGTTGGATCGGACTGGAAGGATGGATTATATCCAAGTACTGTACATTATTAAGGTTGGATTGAACTTGAAGGACGGATTATATCCAAGTACTGTATATTATTAAGGTTGGATCGAACTGGAAGAATGGTTTAGATCCATGTACTGTATATTATTAAGGTTGGATCGAACTGGAAGAATGGTTCCATGTATTGTATATTATTAAGGTTGGATCGGACTGGAAGGATGGATTATATCCAAGTACTGTACATTATTAAGGTTGGATTGAACTTGAAGGACGATCCATGTACTGTATATTATTAAGGTTGGATCGAACTGGAAGAATGGTTTAGATCCATGTACTGTATATTATTAAGGTTGGATCGAACTGGAAGGACGGTTTAGATCCATGTAAGAAGTTCTACTGCAAGGATGTTGATGGGGAAGCAGATATTCAGATAGAGACTGAACAATGCTCTTCAACCTGTCCAAAGGTAAAGAAAAGTATTAAAACCGTCCACAGAGATGAAATTTGAATTAAGATTTAAAGGTTTCACCATCAAAAATTTAAACTAAAGGCTAAACCATGATTCGATTTTGAATCGATTAATATATCTTTATTTCTATCTGGATTTTCTATCACGTGGCCAGTATCACCAACTACAACTTTATTTATAATCCTATAAACCCTATACATTTCTTGCGATCAATTTTTTCAATTGAAATTTACGCACCTCTCAACACAATAAAAAGAAATAAAAGTCAAATGATCTCTCCAGGGTTCAGTTCGTATCCGAGAGAAGGATGAATGTTGTGGATCCTGTCTCCCTACTGAGTGTGTGCTAGAGGATGGGTCTATTTTACCTCCAGGATCATTTAAGGAATCTCAGGACGGATGCAGTAGGACAATTTGTAAACTTCAGGACGGTCAGGTAAATTTTAAAGGAAGACATTTCGAACCTTAAGACGGGAAAATTTTCAAGGAAAACATTCCGAATTTTAAGACGGCTAGCTAAATTTTAAAGGTATACATTTCAAACTTCAAGACGGTTAAACTTTAAAGGGAGACATTTCAAAATCAAAGTCGGGGCAAGTTTAAAGGGAGACATTTTGAAGTTCAAGTCGGATAAAGTTTAAAGGGAGACATTTTGATCTGCAAGACGGGTAATGTTTAAAGGGAGACATTTCAAACTTCAAGAAAAGTAAAGTTTAAAGGGAGAAATTTCGAACTTCAAGACAGGTAAATCTTAAAGGGAGACATTTCTAACTTTACTACGGGAAAGGGTAAAGGAAAAACTTTTTTAAATTGATGGAAGAGATAAACATTTATCTTAAAACCCTTTTAAAAATTCAGATAATGTCAAATATTGTGAATTAGGAACATAACAAAGTTTATGTATTACCACAAAGATGTTATTGAGACGCAGAAAATCTGTAATGATCCGAACCCACTAAATTTAATATAAAATCAGTTCCTTGTTTTAACATTAGACGTAGATTTTTGGATCTTCTGGCTCCAGGAAACATCTCAGAGTAGTAAGAGTAGTAAATGAGGATATCATGTGTATTTTCAAATAAGCTAACATTCCCTTTAATAATGATAATAATTCAGGTAGTTCTAACCCGGGAGGAAACCAAGTGTCCTGTATTTGATGAGTCCTGTTCTAGTATTACGTATAGTGAGGACGGGTGTTGTAGGACGTGTATAACCTGTAAGGATGATCAAGGAACAACAAGGCAGGTGGCAGAACAGTGGCAGAAGGACGGATGCACTACATGTAACTGCTCAGGTAAAAAAAAAAAATTAAGATAAAGGAATTGAGTTATTGCCACAAACTCATAGTTTGAAATATCAAATGTCTATGACATTGGGTTGCATAGATATAATAGATATAACAATTTGGAAATCAGAGTTTGTGGCAAAAACTCAGTTCCTTAGATTCATTTAAAAGGGGGAGTTCGCTAGAAATGAAGAAGAGTATCGGATGAACCAATATCGAATATTGAATTCCCCCCCCCCCCCCCCGTTTCCCTAAAGTACCGATACTATTCTAACCTAAAGGCAATTAGAGTCTCAGAATCAGAAATACATAATTTAATCATAATTAATTTTTCCAGAACACATTTAAAGCTCTCACTCAAAAAGCTATGAGAATTTTTTCAATTACTTTCAAATAACTAAAGCTATAATTAATTGCATTCTTGTTCTACAATCTACATGTGATAATTAACATTATTAAAGACCAAGGTGTTGTGACACTTTAAAGTCCACCCAGTCTAGAAAATTGATGCATAGCAGTCTGGATGTATTTAAACACATATCTTTAATTTGAGAATCTGGAGAAGTCTGGTGTGTAACGAAGGTCTGTGAGAAGGTTGTGTGCAGTGTTGGATACAAGGTGGAGATAGTTCCAGGTTCTCCGGATACATGTTGTCCTCTCCAGGAGTGTATCCCAGTCTCCCTGCCTTACTCCGGACAATGTGCTGAACCTACCCAGCCTAGTTGTGGCGAGGACCAGGAGCTCAAGAGAATTATAGGGACGGATGGATGCTCTTCATATGTTTGTGGTGAGATTAAGTTATTTTTTGGCATTTTTCACGAACGCCCTTGTGTTCAGTAGATTTAAGATTTCTTTTACGAATGATTCCTCAAAAGTCGGTCTCGGGCGCGGAAAAAAGAATGAATTAAAAAGCAAGTGATTGGAAAATTAAGAATTCCAGGAACGGATGAATGAGTTTGCGGTAGGATTTATATTTGTTGGCAGGGTTCCGATTCCAATCATACAAAGATTGTTTACGAGAAAATATTTTAATTTAGTTTCATTTTCATATCTTCATTATTTTTTTCAGGGGATTAGTTAAAAAATGTCCTTAATGCCAGTGACTATTTAAACATGATGATAGATTGATAGATTAGTCTACCATTGTCCAATCTTATTCTCCTGTGTATAAAGTATTAATTTCTGCTTGTCCAATCTATTTGGATTTCCGATCAAAACTCATAATAACATTTGACAGATTTGAATAAAATTTTGATTTGTAAACTAAAAGATTGTTTTAAGCTTGGTTTACAAATCTTGAATAGAGAATATAGAGAATATAGAGAATAGAGAGAAAATAGAGAATAAGGAGAAAATAGAGAATATAGAGAAAATAGAGAATATAGAGAAAATAGAGAAAATAGAGAATATAGAGAAAATAGAGAATATAGAGAAAATAGAGAATTTAAAGAAAATAGTGAATATAGAAAAAATAAAGTTATAGAGAAAATAAAGAATATAGAGAATATAGAGAATATACAGAAAATAGAGAATATAGAGAAAATAGAGAAAATAGAGAATATTGAGAAAATAGAGAATATTGAGAAAATAGAGAAAATAGAGAATTTAAAGAAAATAGAGAATATAGAGAAAAAAGAGTTTTAGAGAAAATAGAGAATATTGAGAAAATAGAGAATATTGAGAAAATAGAGTTATGGAGAAAATAGAGGTTACGGAGAAAATAAAGTTATAGAGAAAATAGAGAATATAGAGAAAATAGAGAATTTAAAGAAAATAGAGAATATAGAGAAAATACAGTTATAGAGAAAATAGAGAATTTAGAGAAAATAGAGAATATAGAGAAAAAAGAGTTTTAGAGAAAATAGAGAATATTGAGAAAATAGAGTTATGGAGAAAATAGAGGTTACGGAGAAAATAAAGTTATAGAGAAAATAGAGAATATAGAGAAAAAAAAGTTATAGAGAAAATAGAGAATATAGAGAAAATAGAGAATTTAAAGAAAATAGAGAATATAGAGAAAATAGAGAATATAGAGGAAATAAAGTTATATTGAAAAAGTAGTTTCCTGGGTAAAGCTGAGTTCCCAAGCTTATATAATATGAAGTTCCTTAGCTGTATTAGATTCATTTAGTAAAAGAATTCCTTAAGATGTTCTGTTGAGTATTCTTGGTATTCTCTATATATCAGAATGTATGAGTGTCTGCCCTACACTACAAGAGCCTAGAGAAGGACTGGAGGAAGGAGTGGAGTGGAGGAAGGATACTACTGGATGCTGTCCTAAGTACACCAGGACCTGTGTAACTAGTACATGTCCTACTCCTGTACCCTGTCCTCTGTACTACAAACAGTACACTGAGAATAAAACAACCGCTTGCTGTACTAAAATCAAATGTGGTAATTATAAAGTTTTTAACAAATTTTTGTTAAAAACAAAAACACTTTTTTGTCAGAAACGAAACAAATTTTAACTTTCAACCAAACTTTCCAGCACACCCTTCAAAATTCTTTTCTTTCCTTTATACTTTCCTTTCCTTTATACTTTCCTTCCCTTTATACTTTCCTTGCCTTTATACTTTCCTTTCCTTTATACTTTCCTTTATACTTTTCTTGCCTTTATACTTTCCTTTCCTTTATACTTTCCTTTCCTTTATACTTTCCTTTTCTTTATACTTTCCTTTTCTTTATACTTTCCTTTATACTTTCCTTGCCCTTATACTTTCCTTTCCTTTATACTTTCCTTCCCTTTATACTTTCCTCTTCTTTATACTTTCCTTTCTTTATACTTTCCTTTTCTTTATACTTTCCTTTTCTTTATACTTTCCTTTATACTTTCCTTGCCCTTATACTTTCCTTTCCTTTATACTTTCCTTCCCTTTATACTTTCCTCTTCTTTATACTTTCCTTTCCTTTATACTTTCCTTTCCTTTATACTTTCCTCTCCTTTATACTTTCCCTTCCTTGATACTTTCCTTTCCTTTATACTTTCCTTTATACTTTCCTCTCCTTTATACTTTCCTTTCCTTTATACTTTCCTTTCCGTTGCAAATTCTTTTTATTTTTCCCTTTAGCTTTCCTTTAACTTATTTTCTGACTTCTGTAGTTACCCATGTTCATTACTATTTTCCCAGTTTCTGTTCACGTGTGTACTGTGTACTGTACTGTACTGTACTGTACTGTACTGTCAAGTGTGTACTTACATGTGATATAAATATAAATGCACATACATATTTGATATTCATTATACATATTTGATATTCATTATACATATTTGATATTCATTATACATATTTGATATTCATTATACATATTTGATATTCATTATACATA